ACTCCCCTGACCCCTTTCCCCCCCCCCCCAAACCTGCCTGTACTCAGGCTATGGAGGCTATTGTCTTGTGCAGGACAGTGACCAACATGACAGATTGATTGATGACATCAGTTGCTTGTGTCATGATACGTTACACCCTCTTCCCTCTGACTGAGGTGCTCTCCTCCATCATGACTGACGTGACTCCACACCTCTCTATGACTGACAGGCATGTGACTGTCACCTCTGACCCCCCCTCCAACGCTGCTCCATGTTGACTCCTTGTTCTTGCTTCCACAAAGTGAGTCATGGTCTCTACCACTGTCTTTGCCCCTACTCACATTCCTGGGCCCCCCACCCTGGATGCTGCTCTAGGACCAGAAGAAGAAGTACAAAGCAGTGCAGTCTTCTGAGGAGAGGGGCTCTAGGGGGGGCTATCTTGAGCCGCTAGTGGCCCTGGCCCAGAACGGAGCAAGCATGCACAATGTACTGGGACCTGCATGCATCTTTCTACGCAAGGGCTTCGCTGAGAGCCGGCAGGCTGTACGTAAGTCCAGAAAATAACATGTGCATGCATGCAAAAAGAGGTTAGCACACAGTACAGTGCACACATAATAACTAAAATTCATCATGAATGTGTCTAGTAAACACCTCTTACATTCACCACTGACAGCTTGTAAAAACAAATGGGTGGAACCAGGAAGATGGTATTTTGACAATGTGACAGCTCATCTTTTTTTAGTAACTAGAATGATGAAATCAAGAATGTGTGTTTTTGTGTGTATGTGTGCACTTATGCATGGTACTGCATTACTCAAAAACATGGTGGTGGACTTTTGTACTACAATGGAGGATTATTAAATCAGGGTGATAGCTGAAATTGTCCTCACATGGTGGTTGTTCCTCTTCATCTGTTTCCAGATGTGACACCATGAGTCAAAGTCCTGTGCAGTGATTTTGAAATCCTCAGTGTACGTAACTGATGTTTAACTGATTGTTCTGGTGACAAGCTCTCTGATTGTTGCTCTTAATAGAAGCAGGAATTGAGATTGAGTTGTTTTAATTCAGTGGACTGGTCTAGTGCATACTTTTGCTTCTTTATTGTCTCTGCATTGAGGCTTATCCTTAAAAAGAGAAACTAGTTCAACACACAGCTGAGATAATGAGTTAGGCAAATTTCTGCTGTAACAAATGCAACAAAATTTTACATCTTTTCTTGTTTCTACTATTTTACCTTTATCTGAGTAGTGTACCTACTAAATGTGTGTTACTTTCCAACAGGCTGCCACAGAGTGCCAAGAGTCTGCATGCTTTCTTCCTATCCCAGCACTTCAGCAGGTGATCATGCTGATACGTTTTCCTCTCCAACTGGAAGGAAACATGCAGACTCTGTGGCACATGGTTGCCTTTTAATTTTCCACAGTGTCATGTCCTGTGTTGAAGACTGATTATTGGCAGGATTTTTTCAAGGATCAGCATTGTTTGGATGCTAACTTTGCACTGTGTTTCACAGGACCGGGAGCTGAGGCCAGAAGAAATGGATGGTAAGTTACATTTCAGACAAATAAAGAATGTTCAAGTCTTTTAAAGTAACTTTCACATCTCTGACATATTCTTACGCTATTTTCCCTGCTCTCAGAGCTGCGTGAGGCGTTCAAGGAGTTTGACAAAGACAAAGATGGGTTTATCGGCTGTAAAGACCTGGGGAACTGCATGAGAACTATGGGCTACATGCCAACAGAGATGGAGCTAATAGAACTGAGCCAGCAGATCAACATGAATTGTGAGTAAACCTGAAAGTATGTGTGTGCATGTCTATAAATTGTTTCCATTTTTATAGCCACATTCCAAAAAGTGTTTAAACTTACTATCAGTTCTCAAATGCAGCACAAATAAAGAAGATTTCGCCCTATTTTATGTACTTGAAATGTAACCCAGCTTTCTCTTTTCCCTCTGTTCAACAGTGGGAGGACATGTTGACTTTGAGGACTTTGTTGAACTCATGGGGCCCAAGCTTCTGGCTGAAACAGCAGACATGATTGGGGTGAAAGAACTGAGGGATGCATTCAAGGAGGTGAGGAAAGTCATAAGAAAATGCTCACAAACTAAAAGTCTTATGGTCAAATTAACTTCCCAGTGAGTTGAAGTTCAGCTGAAAGCTCAGTGTAACAGCAGATGAATTTATACGACTGAATCATTAATATATGTAGAGTTTATCTTAGAGTTTGAACTCCATATAAAACATTTAAGAAGGGATTGTGAAAATTGCAACCAGGCCATTGTGAAGACTTTATGTCAGAGAATGTTCACCTGGTAGTTTTAGTAGATTAGTAATGGCGACAGTGGTTTGTGCAAACCTAGTTAATTGTATTTTGTGATTCAACTGTAATTAATGTTACAAGAATTTGTCTTTTTTTGCTCTTACTTTCAGTTTGACACAAACGGTGATGGCCAGATCAGTACAGCAGAACTTAGAGAAGCAATGAAGAAGCTTTTGGGACAACAGGTACAGAGCTGCCGGGAGAGTGTGTTCTCCTCTCTATAGCTCTCCATCAGTCGATCTTGTCTTCCCTCTCTACTTGTAAATCTTGTTGGTGCTTGTGACACAAATGTTCACACCTTGATTCCCTACAATGTTTCTTTAAAGGTTGGACACAGAGATCTGGAGGATATCTTACGAGACATTGACCTCAATGGAGATGGACATGTAGACTTTGAAGGTAAAGGCTCAGTATGCGACGCCATAATTTGCAATTCATACAGCATTTTACTGTTAATGTCTTTCTCTTCCTTCATTATTATTTGTTCTCGTTAAACACACAGTACACACACTCATACACATTTCAAATACCAATGTGTGTCTGACAAATATCCCAATACCATGCTGTAAATGAGGTGAAGGGATGAAGGCAGCAGGTCTGTCTGTCAGATCATCTTGAATACTGAGGGACCTGTCACCTCCTAGATTACCCACAGTGAAAAGCATGCATACAGAAAGTGCTGGTGTTCTCAGTGCAGCAACTATTTGTACATTTTCCCTTTATTTTTAATGGTATATGCACTCCATCCATAATGGTGTCCAAGCAGCATGGTCTTGGTTGTTTAACTATGAAAAACAAATCTGTTTTTTTTTTTCACTTTCAGAATTTGTGCGGATGATGTCTCGATGAGTTGGACACAAAGAGCCAAGATGTTAGAGCCGAAGATTCTGTGTTGGTATGAGAGGAACAGGGGAGAGACCAGCACAGAGTACTGACAGACCTTCTGAATGAGAGAACACATACATATCAACCCTGCCCTGAAACTGCCACTCTGAAACACAAAGGCTGGCGACTATAGCCAGAAGCAACACTGTTGATTATATGCTGCTGCTTTTTTTTTAAAAGCATAAACAAAACTAACAGCTGCATTTCTAATGTTTACAAGACATATTTGAAAAAGCACGCTCTCCTTCAGTAAGGATAATACTCGAAATGCCGATGTGGTTGTTGACCATCTGGGTAAAGTGTAATGTGATGCTTGAGTTATTTTGCTCAAACACTGTACTATGCCATCAAAGACCCAATAAATACAACACAATCCTTTCTAATGCCGATGACATTGAAAGCACAAATACAATACGGCAATATGGAAATACTGTATTTCACATGATCTTGTCAAAGCAGTGTGTTTGTGTTTTGTGCATACTGTTGTTTCTCGCCACCCTATACTGTAGAGTTATCTCCCTTGAGACTACTGTCAAACCCTGGCTGAGGCAAAGCAGTATTTGTTTTGTAATCACGTGTAATGTAGCACTGATGCAGCTCTTCTAACTTCAATAATATTATGCCTATCGTACTGTGATATATATATATATGTTGTTATTAGTGTGAATAAGATGAAGAGACTCGTTCACCTTCAACATTTCTTCAAGGCAATATTTTCTAGGTACAGCGAGTTGCTAATCTTGACTACAACGATAGGCCTTTTTACAGTAACTACAGTGTTTTACAAATTCTGAATATGACTGCATGAATACTTAGAATACACAAACCTCTTTGAGTTTAATAGATCATCTAACTCAGTGGTAAAACTATAGTTGAAAGGCAGATTCTGTTAACACTTAAAATTTTATCTGAGAGCTTTGATAAATGTTCATTGGGGTTTTGTGAGTCTACTTGTCTACAGAACAGTCCCGAGGTGATTTAAACTTTGGTGCAACATCATCACTTTTAACTTTAATACCTCAATATTAATCAAACAATCAACCTCATCCATAAACTGTCCCTAGCATAATCTCTAATAGCAATTTCTTTACCTTTTTGCCTTCATTATCAATACTAGTAAAGAAGTAGTATATCCGCTTCTTTATGAAAAAAGCCAAAGAAAGCTTAAACAATATTATTTGAGTCTCATTCAGTAAGTGTATGTTTTTAGAAATGTAATCTCTTGGATTACAATTTCAAAATCATTGCTTGAAAGGCCCCTTGGTTTCTGGGGTAGTTAAATTATTATTAGACTGCTTATGAAGGGACATGGGGTACTGTATATGCATAATATACTGCAAAATTAAGTTATTCTACTAAAGGGACATCTTACATTGTAATTTTACTTGTCTTAAATGTGTGAAACTATGCATGCAATTTGTAGCAGAATATATAAAAGTAAAGGTTTTTATTTTAACTTGAGAATAGTGTGTGTATGTGTGCATTTCTTCGTGTATTAATAATAGTGGGTGCATGAGTGTGTCCAGACAGTCACATTATGGGGATTCGGCTCCTGTGTGGTGACCAAAAACATGATCTTCACAATGTTCTGTCCATACAAATGAAACCATGTACAAAACAATGCTCAATAAAAATTGAAACATGCCTTGTATAAATGTTGTCCCTCTCACACACTGATCCTCCTGTTGTAGAAATATGCTCCAAAGCTTAATGTGGAGAGGTGCTGTCAAAGCCTCCTGTGCAGAGATACTGGCTTCTAAAAGTTTTGAGCAGGATTGATCTTGCTAACCAAACAGAGATGTTCAATTATTTCTGCTTGATCAGTAAGTTTGGTTGCATTCTCATTTCTTGTAATTTCATAATGACAAATATCTGAAGAGCTGGGCAGAGCATGGTGGAGCTTGGTAGATCGCAGTAGAGCACAGTGGAGCAGGGAGAGGGAGTGGATTGATTTGGAGTTTCATGCTAATGCTACCTTAAGTTATATACTGTAGCTTTAAGATTATACTCAGACCCTGCAGGTGAAAGCTAAGGTGGAGATGGGGCTTATCAAATATGACTGTTTGCACAAGCAACAGCAGTAGAATGTGGACATAGCAAAAGCAGCTTACTGCAGAAGTGCTGCAGCTGGAATGATGAAGTAAACAACGCTCCTCAAATCCAGCAAAGTCTGTAGATAAGACAGAATAAAGTCAAACATTTCAGTGTTGTTTATCAAAATAGAAAAAAAAAATTAAAATGTGGAATGAAGGTCATAGCAACAAATAAAGATGGGGACAAATACAGCTTTGACATTTACACAAATCTGTGTAAGCAGCACACTGGCAAAACATTTGCAGTTTAATAAACACATGGGCCCGGTAAGAGCCAACTTGGCTTTTAATGAAATTGTCCAGGTTTAAATAAATGAACTGACAACACAAACATAAAGTCCTAATCCTCAGTACTTGTTTTAGAAGTGATGAGGTGGATAGGTGGTTACCTATGTGAATGAAACCTTTCTGGGAGTGTTTGGGTTTTAATTCAGTGTCTCTATGGTTTTCTGTGTATTGATTTGTTAAATTGAAGGTGTTTATTCCCTCACAGATTAGTTTCTCTCTTTATGTGTATGTAATGCACAATGTTATTAGATGAGTACAAAATTAAAGACCTTTATATTGATATGTTCTTGAGCCAGAGTGTTGCTGAATGGAAAATGTTATTTTATTCATTAATTATTTATTATGGACAACATTTTGGAACAAATATCTTTTAGTACCTTTGTAATATATTACAGCCCTTTCAATTATTTGGAACTCCCAAGTCAGAAAAGGGGCCTTTAGAAGTACAGAGCATATTGTGACACAGGCTTAGAGACAGACCCCCAGGAGGAATAAACTTTTAGTCATGGGAATGTTATCTGATGTGGTAGGTAGCTCAGACTACTTGGAGTAAATTTAGTGTACTTTTTTGACAATTGAAAGAGACAGAAAACATGAGCTAATCCTCTCCTCACATCTGGCTTGAAAGATCAGAAGTCAAAGACAAACACCTAGTGGCCAAAGGGTCGCACTGCATCGTCTCAGCGTTTCCCCTCTTAGCTCCCATAACCAGACAGTCAGTACCAGTGCTGAGAAGAAAGACGGCTGAGTTTCACAGAGGGACTGACCAGGTACATACAATGAAGTGATTAGTTCAGTGCATCATATTATATGGTGGTCCTGTCATTCACCTTTGTATGTTTCTTGTTGTGATTTGCATTTCATCCAATTAGAATAAAATGGTTAGAAGTAAAGTATTAATAGAAACTAAGTTAATTTATCATTGACTGGTTGTATTGTGAGATGCATATTACTAACTTATAGAGTACAAACTGGTATAGTGGATTTGCACAGAAAATTTGAATTTGTCCACAAGGTGGTAAAGGTCTGCGACAGCAACACTGTGAGTGAAGGAACTCAAATGGTCATAAATGTTTTATTCTTGTTCTTCAAACTTCTCTCTGTTTTGGATTTGATTTATCTTAATTTTTTTCAAATGTTTTCTCAATTTTCTCACTTAATGAAGCAGCAATACTTCACTAATGTTCCACTAAGATAAACAATTTGCCAGGCAAAAAAATTAACCTGACAGCGGACGTGTTTACAAAACTGGGTCCAAAATGGCAAGTTTGTGTTTAAAAGCATTCAAAATATAATATTTGTTGCTTCTAAAAATGGGTATCAAACACAGAACAGTAGGAAAAAAGCAGACAAATTGAGCCATTTGACCTTCAATCAATACGATGTATGTAGAGAGCCTGACATTTGTTGTTTAGAGTTAAGATCTTTATGCAGGTACTTGCACAAACAGCACATCAGTGATGATGTTCAAAAAGGGCGGCACTGTTTATCCAGTTGCTATTAAGGTAGGAACATTTTTGTCTCTTTCTTCCTTCCTGCTGCGTTTGCTCTTACCTCTGCTTCAGATGATCTGATTTCCATTGTGCAGTATGACCCTCGGTTTGGGACTGCGTCCAGGAATAGCAGTACCTCTGGCATGGTGCTTTACTTCTTGAGGATGATAAGCAGCAACACAACAAAAACAATAAAATCACTGATATAACAGCGATAAGCAGTGAAAGCATAAACAGCTACACAAGGTGGATTAGTGGATTTCATTTACTGGGGCCATCGTTTTATTAAAATGTCATGATATATTTCAGTAAAATGTTTTGTGTTAAAGGTTGTTAGAAAGAGTGAAGTTGCTAGTATCATGAAACCATGACACTGATACACAAAATACACTGTTATTAACTTTTAGCTTTGACAGAAACTCTTGTGAATTCACATGGGAAATACTGGTTATTTCCTTCAGGGTTTGTGGAAATAGTAACTAATAACACTGTGTTGTGTCTGTGTGTCAGACCCTTTTCCTCTCTTACCTGTGTGCTCTTAAGGATGGAGGACTGAAACAAGCAAAGGTGAAAGACATTTTCAAATAAAAGAAGCAGAAAGTTTACACAAAACTTGTAGGTGAGCGGGACCAGGAAGAACAAAGTGAGGAGGATATAAATGACCAACATTGAACAAAATGACAATAAGGACACTAAATGATATATTTTGTAAATTAAACCATAGCTTCTTTTTATTGCTTTGTGATTTGTGTACTCTATATCTAATTACCTAAGTGTCTAATACTACAGCTGTTACACCAGACAGCACATGTGCTTCACTGGGCTAATTGGCTCAAGCCTCTTTGTGTGTTTGTAGCTTTTATTTACTGGTCATTGTGAACCAGAGACAGTTAGCGCAGACCCTGTTCATAATAACCTTTATGATAATGTAGATCTTGATTTTGTGTCTCAGGCTATAAAAGGAAAGTCCTTCTTTGTTAGATTCACCATGGTGCAAAGTAAATTGACCAGTCATTGTGTCACTTCTGTTCCCTTTTTTAAACAGTAGGAGTCAGTGTTCAAACACGAATCATCCTGCCTACATCAAACTGAAGCATGATAACATTACACAAAGGTAAACATACAAATCAATAATCAGACTGGGTTTAGATAGTAATAACTGTCTAAAACACATCCTTTTTCTATAGTGACCCAATCCTTTTTAGCCTAATGGGGATTGTTAGCACTTTTCCCAGCATGCATTGAGTAGAAAGTTTCCACCTCTGGAACTCCCTGAAAGTTCAAAACAGACAAAACACTTTTAAAATTCTGTAGAACCTTCAATCCATGTGATCTGCAGGTAGGATGAAATATATGCAGACAAAAGCAGTGCAGCCTGGAGCTGCATGTGAAACAGAATCAAACCATATGAACCTTGTCAGTTGTTACAGGCCTGTCACGTATTCTGTCCTCTCTGCTGACAGTCTTGGCATTATTAGAGCAGAAATCTCATGTGTCTAGACTGTGATGACATAAATGTTGAGGTAAAAGTAGATATGATGTTGGGACTATAAATTAATAGACGACGGGAGTAACATTTAAATGGAACACACAACAAAATGGGCCTTGGATAACAGATATGCATAATGTGTGCTCTGAATTTGGCTTGAAGAAAGGTTTTTCCCATGAAGTAGCCTATTGAAGAAGTGTAAACATAAGTGGGCAAATGAGGTTTGCAGTATGTTAAAGCTGTGATGTTACATACGACTATATAATTTAAATTATGTACCTTTTAATCTATCAAAAGATTTTTAAAATATTTTGTGTCTAAATAAGAGCTGGTATTTTGCATCTACACAGTGAAAAGGACCAGTAGGCTGGTTACCATTGTGTTTTTTTATTGTCCTGGTACTAGGAGATTTCTCATGTTTTGTTTAATGACATACAGTAAAGGATATAAATGACGCGATGGACATGAATGGATGACAAATATGTCTGAAAAGGAGGCTTCCTATTTCAGGAAAGCTTGGAAACTCAGGAAGAAAACTTTATATATATTGTGTTGCTGATATTTGATGTAATGTGTCTGTTTTATAATCCCACAGGAATGGGCAATGAAATGGCATGACACTGTACTCGGTCCATTTCATGCATTCATTCACGTGGACCTTATCAAGAACTTAGGTTTGCATGACCTTGTTCCAGCTCTAATAAGGATCCTAGTTGACCAATATTAAAGTATCCCAGGCACTCAATCAACGCACCTGTGTCTTGATGCTGATGCGCTCCGGCAAGTGTCAAGAAGGATCAGGTGTGCTCTTGATCAATAGGTGATTGTTTTGGTGTGAATGAGCACAATACCCGGCGTGTCAAATTCGCCTACTGCAACCTGTTAATCTGTGGGAGTGTCTTCTTCGTGTAAACACGCCCATTCAGCTGTTTCCTCAACCAAACTCACGGGAAAACTTTTGTCCACCTCACGTGGAACGATGGTAGACGCCGCTGCCGCGTTTTGTTTTTGGATTTAATATTTCATCACGGTGATCATCCAGCAACACGTAGTGCGATCATGTCTTTGGCGGATCCGGAGTGGTGTCCCACAAGCGTCCAGGTAACAGTACTTCAAGCCAGAGGCCTCAGGATAAAGGGGAAAAGCGGCACCAACGATGCGTACGCTGTCATGCAAGTGGGCAAGGAGAAGTATCAGACCACTGTGGTGGAGAAGTGCGTGGCCCCGGTGTGGAAGGAGGAGGCCGCTTTCGAACTGCCGTCACCACTGCAGCAGGGCGGCGGGGCAGGACGCGAGCGGAGTACGCTCCATGTGCAAGTCATGCACCGGGCCCTGATGGGTCCAGACAAACTGCTGGGACAGGCTGTCATCAACCTGCTGCAGCTCAGTGAGGACAAAACCCGCGAAAAGACGGAGTAAGTAGAATAATATAGCAGTAGTGGAAGTAAACTGAAGTCAGAATTTAACTGTAAATTAAAGTTCAAAATGACTCGGTGCAACAGGCTACAAGACTTGAATGGAGGTCACAAATTCCTAGAGCCCATAAATGTTTGATGTGTCCAACTAACAGTCCAAATATGTTCAGTTGAATGTCAAGATGGGCCCACAGTGTAACACGAATAAAAACACATGTACATGAAATGCAATAAATACTGTATAAAACAAACTAAAGTAAATAGTAAATAAATAAATGCTTCATTTTTAGCCTTTCTTTATTTTAAGTAATTTGACCTGATGGCCACAAAGCAGCTCCACCTCAGCAAGTGGGAACTGATTAATTTTTACTTAAAATGAGCCTGCCCCAGCCTCATCAATACATCATGATTCATTTAATGTCAGTTGACAAATGGTTTATTTGTTTCCAATGAAATCTTGGTTTTTCCTTTTAAAACTACATACCATATGGTCACTATTATGAAGGAATCTCGGCTTCTCCACATCAGCTACATATGATTTTTGCTTGGAGGTTTTTCTCATTCATAGGAATGCAAGAATGTCTTTTTATTTCTATGCACACTATTGTAGCTACATGTAAATGAAGAGAGGGAGGTGCAAAGCTAGTTTGATTTTCATTTGCTCCAGAGGCTAAAAACTCCTGGTTGCTGGTTCTGTCAGTCATACTCCAGCACTGTGTGAATTTGTAGGACAAAAAACTCTAATCCCTAAGAATTGCAAACCATTTCTGTTGTAATATAAAAACTATGGATTAGGTTTGTTAGATGTTTTCCTTAATGTCCTAAAGTTTTGTTAAGATTTAAATGTGAGTATGATTTCTCTCTGATTTGTGCACCTGTTTCTACTGATGAGAGGTATTTGAGTACATACACACGATCATCCATCACTACACTGACGCGCTCTGGTGGGTTTGACTTGTGAATATTTCCCACTTGCTCCAGAGCAGCTTAAAGGATTTGTTCTGTCAAGGATGCCAATCAGTATTAATCAGGTGAATGAAGTGAGTCAAAAGATTAGCCCATTCATTCAGTAACTACTTGAAGTGTTGATTATATTTTATTGTCCTCGCCAAAGAAAATCACACCCATCTTAACTGCACTGGTGGTAATAGTGACGGTGAACAGGTTTTACAGGCCTTGCTGGAACCACTGTAGAGTTTTAGTAATGGTCATTTTACCAGCTCTTTTAAGCAGAAAACATGTTCTTCACTTGGCCAAAGAAAAGGTTGCTCATTTAATTCAAGATATCCATGACAGAATTTTAAATGCAAGAATAATCTCTTGTCCCTTCACAGTCGAGAATGATTGGAAAAATGGAACATGTTTTGTTGTGCTAAGCTGTTTCTGAGTGTTTTAGTCCACCACCATGTTACTAGTATTATACAAAGCAGACTGCATACCAACCTAATCTAAATGCACGAGCACACCCTTTTTCTCAGGGGTTGGTTGGTTGTTGTTTGGGTGTGTCTGCTCTGGGTGACGTCTTAGATAATTGCATGATTTGTAATATCGTCCATCCCAAAGCTGATGTGACGTTGTGGCTTATTTCTGTTAATGTTTTGCTCATCATGAAACCATATAATGGCAAACCTTTTTATAAAACTGTGAATTTAGTGTTTTTTTTTTTGTGAATGTCCCAACAAGTCATGAATGTCACAGCAAAAAAATCTATCATAAAATTAGATTTGAGAAAATGAAATAAGATGGGATTAAAATTCATTCTGTCACATAACATTTCATGCTGTTCTGCTCGGGCTTGGATAGTGTCAGACTCTCTCCTTCTGATCAGAAGAATATGAGCTTCACCTGGCTGTGTGCTGTGTGTTTGACTGTGCACACAATGTGGTTTCACGCCGTGCAGATCTCTGCTGTCTTTGACAAAGCGAATGGTATGCTTGTTTGGTGAATGCACCTTGCCTCTGAGGTTTCAATTTGGCAGTAGCTTCACATTCCTTGACTGTTTTATCACAAAATAAACAACAGAGCATGGCAGCAGTGAAGCAAGGTCAGTTTTACTTCAGTGGACCACTGTGGCTGTAATGGCCCCTGACAGACTGTTACGAGCAAACACTACAGAAGCTCTACTGTTGAGTCGTGTGTCCCTTTTTTTTTGGGATGTGTCTTACCAAAGATGGCCCACTATTATTACGCTTCACTTCAGTGACCACTGGATTATAGATGTCTGTATAAAATACACTCTTAAGACATCTAAATTAGTATTATGTTTGAGGTGCTTCATACGTATTCCATCATTTGATGATTGTATGGTTTACTTATTATTGCTTTTAATCCTAAAAGGGAAGACCCATTGTAAAAAGTTTTTCAGATGCATGTTTACTACTCCAAATGAGGAAGGTCCCACAAGCATCAGAGATGAAGCAGAACTGTGACAAACAATGGTTATATTTTAATAGCTTCCACTTGTAAAGAAGTAGTGATCTTGTGTGATCTTCCTCGGCATATGCTGTAGAGTTTTTCCACTTGTCATGAAATTGCAGTTGTTGAAATGACTTCTTTTATGTTGGCTTAAAATTGTTTCAGATTATAAATTAATAATTAATTGAAATAAGGGTTAACTGGCAAAATTTTAATGTGGAACAAAAAAGGTTTCACTTGAATGTGCAGTTTTCAAATGCCCAGCTGAGCTTTTGACTTGTCATAGTTGTTAAATAATCACATTAATGACTTCTCTGGTTTCAGTAAGTCGCAACAGTGAATCAGTATAATACACGACCCTGAAACTGAAGCAAAGAATTTGTCAGCCATCATTTTCATAGTATCTTTTAGACGTATTGCAGCATGAGCACCTACAGCAACAAAAGTCTTAATTTCAGCTTCAGTTTAACAGCAGCTTCCCTGTTAAGTTCTGCTTTCTTTGACAGTGTGTGTGCTCTAGGTTTTGTTGATTGATTTTGGTTTGAAACGATGCAAGTTTCAAGCAGTGGTTTGTCACACATATGGAGAAAGGGAATATTGCTTTTCAGTTTCAGTCTGGTTGTGTTGGCCTTCATTTTGCTTCTTTGGTTCCTGGGTGTGGACTGATCCGATAAGCCCAGAACAGTTTGCTCCTTGGATATCATCTCTGAGTTGTTTTTGTCTTTCAGCTCTTCTCCCACTGACGCAGCTGTACTCTGTGATAAGAAAGGCTTTAGCCTCATAGGACCTTATCTGTAGATGGGCTTCCCAAGGAAGGATGTGTGTTTTTGCAGAATACTAGAATAAATTTAAGAAATACTGAGTCATGCTTTATCCTCTTCTGGTTCTGTCCGTACAACAGAGCAGCACAGTTTCTTCTGTTAACAGTGGTGTGGGATTACTAAATTTGAAGGGCATAAACATCATCATTCTTGTCTATTCATTAAGTGAAAGCCGCGTTTAATTCCTGCACACTGCTCACTAAACCAACTAGATAACGCCCAAACACTTTTGCAACTTCCCTTCTGAGTTAACTGAAATAGCTTACTTCTTCTCTTTTTTTTGCATGCGGGATGTATCTGTGTTGGTGGCTTCTGTAGGCAAAATGTCAAAAGTTAGGATGGTGATTAAACCTGTACTACATTATACTGAATTAGTCATACTAGTGACTGTATACTGTACTATAGTAATGCTAATACTATAGCCTACTTGTGCTGTTTTTAATTCTATTACTATAACTATACTAACAGCAACACTAAAGCTAAAGCTATGTTGTAGTATACTATGCCATAATATACTAATTAAGTATTAATATTGTATTGCAGGCCCACTATAGGGCTGGGCAGTATGATTGAATTCAATCAAATATAAGTGATATTTTCTGTTATTGATATGCAATGTATCATAATGGCAAGTATAACCCCCCCCCCCATACAGGATATGCGATATAGATGGGTAGTCACTCTGCTCTGACACTGAAACTATCAGAAGGATGCTATGATTCTACAGGAGAATTGGATTAAATATTCTTTTTATATCGTTGTACCACTTATGAACTGTGCAAGAATGGCTACAGAACACTGTCTACATTTTGCATATCCCTTATATCTTGCAGTATTTTGATGAAGAACCTTCATCAGGTACATTATGAAGGAACCTCGCAGTGGAGTATTAAAGTTGCATATTCCCTTATACATCAGCAGTAGTAGGCAGGGAAGCTGTATTGGCAGTCGTGTCCATTTTGCAAATCCCAGGAAAAGAGGTTTTCTCAATTTGTTTCCACACATCTGAAACATTCCTGAGGGTGGATCTCGACAACCTAATTGATTCAGGACCACTGAGAGGAAGGCACAGTATTCAGCTCTAGTATATTACACTTTATGTAATACTGGGGGGAATACTGTCTATAGCACATACACACAATATTATATATTTAGACAGTCTCTTGTGATGCAAAATGCTTTCACATTGTTCTATTATTTTTAAACCACATTGATTTTAAGAGTTGCTTCTGTGTCTTACATTTTAAGAAAAGTGATCCGCTATAGCCACAACACAGACCTGTGGGGTAGGTGTTTTTTTTTTTTTTTTTTAAACACTCAAGGGCACACACGGCTCATTCCTCATTTCCACAGGAATCCAGTTTTCAGTTAGAGTTGTTTGCTCAGTGGTGATCTGACCTCCCATTTTTGCTTGACAGGCACTTTTTATGCTGACTGTTATTTTCCCTTTGTTCTGTCAACTTATTCTGCTCATTCTGAATCCCTTCTGTCAGTGTTGGACCATGACGTGCAGAATCAGTGCAAAGTTGAGTCTGTTCTGGTTTCAGTGGGCATACTACTGAACCTGATTACACTTTATCTTTGCAGTTTGAAATTGTAACCATTGTTTATGTTGTCTACCTAACTAAAGTACAGAACAGGGACACGTGACCCGAGTAGGAGGTCTGTTGGCATTGATTCTTTCTCTGTGGTGCTTACCTTCATTCCTTTGTTTCCAGCAGTGTGGACTCTTGTAATAATCTTTTGTTTGTAGGCCACTTCAGCTCATTCAGAATGCTACTGCCAGAGTTTTAACAAGAACCAGGAGAAATGAGGACATCACATCTGTTCTTAAATCCTTACAGTGGCTGCCAGTTATCAACAGAATAGATTTTAAAGTGCTCCTGTTAGTTTATATATCACTCGGTGGTATGGGACCAAAATACATCCCCTTGAAGAATACAAACAGAACCGGGCTCTTGGATCCTCAGGAAAAAATCAGGTCACAACCAAGCAGGATGAAGCTGCTTTCAGCTGCTACTGTATATAAGGCACTTTAAGTTGTCTCTTTGTATGACATGTGCTATACCTACACTGTGTATAAAAGGTGATGAGGCTAATAGAAGATTGGTTCCCTGTGAACCTGGCTAGTTATATGAAGAGCACTATTCTTGTTGGATACTCCTTCAGGCGGGCAACTGCCCTGTTTACTGTCTGCAGGTTTAGATGTAGGAACATGCAATCTGCATGTAGTCAAGGGCAGAGTGGGTCACAGCGACTACTAATTCTAAAACTACACAGTACAGGCATTCATAGAGGCTGCCACAGACAGTACAGTATTTCAAAAACTTTCCTTCATGGTCAGTTTGCTGGTTAGGCTGAGATCATCACAGACGTTCCCAAAACATTCAAGTCTCTGCGGAGTCCCTTCCCATTTATGATGGATCATAGTTTCCACAAAGAAACTTTAAGTACTAACCATCAGCATAGTGAATTTGATTCACTCTCACCACTCTTTAAATTTAGTTTTCAGCCACAACCAGCAGCTGTTCAGAGATAAATCTTGTCTACAACCCAAACTGAATGATAATGTTGCTCCACTGGGTGTGTAAATATGAGTTGTTTGCTAACAGGTTCACCATAACAACTTGTCATTGTGTTCAACACTTGTTTCTGCTGCCCCCAAATGGCCAAAAAAAGTCATTGCATGCCCAACATTGTTTTAACCTCAACTCTTTCTTCTCAAAGTAATAATATCTGTAAAATCCTCAGTCATTTGTGGATTATATATCAATTAGCATGCAGAAAATCAAACTATCCTCCTGTCTTCCTTCCTCAGATGGTTCAAGTTGCTGGGCAAGACTGGCAAGACAGACAAAGCCAGAGGAGAGGTTCTTCTGGACATCAAGTTCATGAGAAGCAACATGACCGCCAGCATGTTTGACCTCTCTTCTGCTGGCAAATCCCGGTCTCGCCTGGACAAGTTCAAAGATAAAGTTCGTGGCAAGAAAAAAGAATCGGACACCGTTTCTAGCGTGGTGCCGTCTTTCACTCAGGTTCTGACAGACAGCGAGGAGGAGGCCAATGGGAATGAAGAAGCAGCTGCAGGCAAAGAGAAGAAGAAAAAGAAAATCAAATCTTTATTTTCTTCCAAGTCTAACCTGCAGAGGAACATGTCTCAGTCCATGTCTGTTCTGCCTGCAAAAAACTCCTCACTGAGTGGCAGCCAGTCATCTGGTCTTAATGTTGAGTCCTCTGAAGGTCAGGAGTGGAGCAGGAAGAGTTTTTATATATCTTTTCATAATTGTTCTTTCTGTTCTTGTCTTCTTTGTCACTAAATTCATGTTAAATATTCTTCCAGGTAAAAAGAAATTCAAGTTCATGATACATAAACGCTCAGACAGCAAAGATTCCACCTCTGGCCACCAAAAACATGTTGCTGTGGAGCAGAGTAATTTTTGCATCAATAGCAGTCATGTATACTCTGAGGAGCCACAACCTCGAGCTTCTCGGATCGACTCAAACTTCAGTCTAGCCAGTTCAGGCCACGGCTCTATGGATGACGTCCCTGAAAGCTCTCCACCCTTTGATTCACTAAAGGCAGTAAGACAATATTCACACTGGACGGAGGAGGAAGAAGATATGGCTGAAATAGAAAATATTAAAGAAGATGAGGATGATCTTAGAAGGAAGGAGGAGGAAATGATGGAGGAGGAGAGAAAGAGAATGGAAGCGGAGAGGGTGAAGAGGCAAGAAGAGCTTGAGAAGTTGGCTGAGGAGGAGAGACAAGAGCAAGAAGAAAGAAAAAGGACTGATGAGAGACTTAAAAGGAAGGAAGAGGAAAGGATTCAGAGGGAGGAAGAGATGAAGAGAAAAAAGGAAGAGGAGAGGGTTGCGCAAGAAGAACTTCAAAGAGTAGCAGAGGAGAAGAAGAGACTAGAGGAACAAGAATGGATGAGAATTGAGGAAGAAAAAAGGCAAAGGGAGGAAAGGATTAGAATGGCAGAGGAAAGGGCTCAGAAAGAGAGGAGGAGACGAGAAGAGGAGCATAAATTAGCAGAGGAACAGAGAAGACTGGAAGAAGAAAGACGGACAGAAGAAGAGAAAGTTAGGAAGGAGGAAGAGGAGAGGATAAGAAAGGAGGAGGAGAGGGCTGAGGAAGAGAGAGTTAAGAGACAAAATGAAGAAGATGAGATAAGGAGACGAGAAGAGGCGTATAAATTAGCAGAGGAACAGAGAAGACTGGAAGAAGAAAGAAGGACTGAAGAAGAGAAAGTTAGGAAGGAGGAAGAGGAGAGGATAAGAAAGGAGGAGGAGAGGGCTGAGGAAGAGAGAGTTAAGAGACAAAATGAAGAAGATGAGATAAGGAGACGAGAAGAGGCGTATAAATTAGCGGAGGAAATGAGACTGGAGGAAGAAGAAGAAAGGAGAAGGATTGAAGAAGAGAAGGTTAGGCAGGAGGAAGAGGAAAGGATAAGAAAGGAGGAGGAGAGGGCTGAGGAAGAGAGACGAGAGGAAGAGGAGAGAGTTAGGAGACAAAATGAAGAGCATGAGAAAAGGAGACTAGAGGAACATGAAAAGAGGCAAAAGGAAGAAGAGGAGAGAAGACAAGAGGAAGAAGAGAGAGCTAGGAAGGAAGAATA